TGGCCTGTTACTTTGGTAGTCATTTAATACTAGAAAATAACAAAATCATAGGACAATAAATACAATTAATATGAAATGTTCCATATTAAAATCTATAGAATTTCTGAAACTTTATTATGTCAAATTTAATTTTCAGGCATAAGTATGAATTTCTACACAATGGAACAACTCCAGATATAAGAATAACAGTTCCTCCAAAGAAGATTGGCATTCTATTAGACTATGAAAATTCAAAGTTGTCATTTTTCAACGTGGACCTTTCTCAGCATCTATACACATTTAGTTGTCAGCTTCACAAATTTGTGCATCCCTGTTTTTCTTTGGAAAAGCCTGGGTGTCTAAAGATACATAATGGCATTTCAATGCCAAAACATGTCACTTTCTATTAGAACATTTTGATGTCCAGTTTCCTATCTTCCAAGCCTACCCCTCTCACAGCCACTCATGCCTTAGCTGGCTGAACTTGGCATTCAAGCACCATGTGCCCAGCATATTTTATGGCTGATGTTATTATCTGACAGAAGGCATGCTGCTGCTCATTTCACCCAACCTAGATTCTAGTCCTGTGTGCTGCTACCCGAGTGATGCTCAGATGGTCGTTACCAGGCCCAGCTGTAAAATAAAGGCTCAAACTAACGAACTCAAAAGTCTTCCCAGTTGTCAAACTGTATTTGTATATATGCAAAATATCTTCAGTTTCTGAGACCTAGAGAGCTTGGGAGAGGAGGGGGGAAGTCTTAATGGCTCTAGCAGCCCCAGTACACTCATGCATTTCATTAGTCAGCCAAATATATACTTTAGAAGGTGAGAGGCTGTCTGCTGAGAACAGGGAAGCTGTGTGGCCTTCTCAACGTCTTCTACGCTCGTTTTCCCAACAGTGAGTAGCACTGTGGTGAGGTCCCCCCCACTGTGTACTCTTTATAACACCCTGTTCCACTCCTATACAGTATGCACCACTCTCTAATTTTGAAATTACCTCTATAATACCTAATTCGATGAAGGCAGGGACAGTGTCTGTTTTGTTCATCACTAGATCCCCAAGGGCTAACACAGAACAGCTGTCACCAAGTATTTGTTGAATAAATGAGTATCTTCTTTAGCCACTGCTCTTTGGCTTCTCACTGCTGTCCATCTGAAGGATGGCAGGGCTCTTTCAGAACTACAGCAAAGGACCTATGGCCAACAAATGGGAAAAAACCTAGAATGGAGGCGGCATGAAAGAACAGAAGGGCATCTGTGGCATATTAGCATGTGCACACAATTTTTTTTAAAGAAATCAACAGCCCACCAAAGCGCAAAGCTGAGGATGGGAAGGAAGTGATCTCTAGGCAGCTTTCAGGCATCCTGTCTCACTGCCACGAGGCCATTCTGTGACCCTCAGTGGTCAACTTCATCAGCTCCATTTCTGGTTCTCCGGTTCAAGTTACCAGTTGCAACTTAAGCTCTGCATACACAGCATTTTCAAAGCTTGTGAGCGAAATTGCAAAATCATTCCATTTGTGAAGAAATTACAATTCAGTATCTTGCCCGACAAATGCCTCTAAACCCAGATATGCCCTAATCTCATCATTTAAGGTTGTGTGTTTAAAAAAAAAAAAAAAAAAAAAAGGCCGGGCGCGGTGGCTCAAGCCTGTAATCCCAGCACTTTGGGAGGCCGAGGCGGGTGGATCACGAGGTCAAGAGATCGAGACCATGCTGGTCAACATGGTGAAACCCCGTCTCTACTAAAAATACAAAACATTAGCTGGGCATGGTGGCGCGTGCCTGTAATCCCAGCTACTGAGGAGGCTGAGGCAGGAGAATTGCCTGAACCCAGGAGACGGAGGTTGCGGTGAGCCGAGATCGCGCCATCGCACTCCAGCCTGGGTAACAAGAGCGAAACTCCGTCTCAAAAAAAAAAAAACTTTTGCTTTAAAACTCTGATGTTTTCTGGCGAAACCCTATCTCTACTAAAAATACAAAAAATTAGCTGGGCATGGTAGCAGGCACCTGTAATCCCAGCTACTCGGAAGGCTAAGGCAGAAGAACTGTTTGAACCCGGGAGGCAGAGGCTGCAGTGAGCCGAGATCATGCCATTGCACTCCAGCCTGGGTAACAGGGATGAAACTCCGTCTCAAAAAAAAAAAAAAAAAAAGCCTCTGATATTTTTCCAGCACATGCAAAGTCTGACAAACTGAAAGACTCTCAACTCCTACTTAACTCTGCCTACTGGTATGAATGGCAGCTCAGATTCCTGAATTAATAACTCACAATGACAATTTAATAGCTCGTTACACACACACACACACACACACACACACACACACACACACACACCCCTGCCAAGCTGGACTGTCTACTCTAAAATAAAGGACAATAGATGTAAGCATAGAAATGGTTCCAGTTATAAACAATTAAAAGATACATATATGTATATTCAAAAATGTTCTCAGCTACTGAAATAGAAATCACCAAGTAACAAACAGGATATCACAGAGAAGGCAGGTTTGAATTCAGGGTTCTAATAGGCTTTATGGAATACTTCACATGTTAATATGAACATGGATAAATGGATTAAAAACTCAACACCTATAAATTTTTAAATTTTTATTTGACCAAGAAAAAACTGTCTAGAATTGTCTGACATTTAAAATCCACTTAAACAAAGCAGATTAGCAACCTCAAGCATCACAATTACTCAGCATAAAGAACCTTTGTTGAAACATCTTTCTCATTTATTTAGAAGAAAAAAATTTAGAACAGAAGCAAACAAAGCTTTTGTATTTTTGTAAAAAAAAAATTCCAATTCCTTAAAATATTATGAACAATCTACTGAAACTATATTTCAACAAGGGGCATGATTTACCTCAAGGCCATGTTCACCTGCAACCTGCTGATAAATCTGTTAAAAAAACAAAGCAGGCCGGGCGCGGTGGCTCAAGCCTGTAATCCCAGCACTTTGGGAGGCCGAGGCGGGTGGATCACGAGGTCAAGAGATCGAGACCATCCTGGTCAACATGGTGAAACCCCGTCTCTACTAAAAATACAAAAAAACATTAGCTGGGCATGGTGGCGCGTGCCTGTAATCCCAGCTACTCAGGAGGTTGAGGCAGGAGAATTGCCTGAACCCAGGAGGCGGAGGTTGCGGTGAGCCGAGATCACGCCATTGCACTCCAGCCTGGGTAGCAAGAGTGAAACTCCGTCTCAAAAAAATAAATAAATAAAATAAAATAAAATAAAAATAAATAAAATAAGAGAGACTTGCAATCTAAAATGACACTGGTTTCTGGTAAAATTAAACTGACTTTTATTTAGAAAAGTGTGTTTAATAATTGACTTCCTGCTGATTCAAGTGACAAACAATCACTTGTATACATCTAATAAGATATTTTTGAAGTGTATACTTGGTCAAAACTGAAAAGTAGAGCAAATGCATGGGCAGTGGGGCCTTTTTCTTAATATTTCTCATCCTCCAAAATCTGTTAAAATCATCATCTTCCACAACTTACACACTGGAAGCTGTCCACAGCACAATTCACTGGGATGTGGCATTCTGTAAATAAGACTACATTGGTCTTGATGCAAGGAGGTTCAGCTACCAGACTGCACTATAAGAAGAGTCCTCTCCTCAACTTACCAAAACAACTTCTCCAACTTCTAGTCACCTTCCTATCAATTCGTAGGGCAAGATTCTCACATATTCACTATGTCTTTCTCTAGTTTTCTCATCTATAAATTTACTATTCCTATTTTCTATAGAAAGACAATGGAAAGCATATAATTGCTGTTGGTAGATAAGTAGGTCTTGAATTTATTTTGCAAACAAGACCTGTTCTATCTACCTTTTCATTTAGGAGGCTAACAGCAGAGTCAGCTTGACTTCAAAGACTCTATTTTCTTAGTCTCCAGAAGAACATAGCCAAGTCCAGCTTTTAAAACACTGTCCCTTAACATGTCAAGATACTCAAGTAAAGATCATTTGTAACTTCAAGCTAGAAGAGGTTAACTCTGTACTTATGCTTGTTTAACTGTAAACAATGGTTAATTCATCTAAATGCAAGAGAAGACTTTGTTATTTGGAAAGAAGACCTCAGCTGGCCAGCATCTTTTCTGTCATCAGGAAGTTCTCTGGAAGGATTATGACTATCACCTGGGCACAAAAACTGCCCCTCAGTAATTACTTTAGAGTTGGTACTGAACAGGTGCTGTTCTTGTCAAGTATATCATGTCTAACTACTTCACTGCTTGTTTTCTGCTATCACCAGTTGCAGAAAAAAAAAAAAAAAATTAAGCCCAACTCACTAATTGATTGCTTTTTCTTCATTTTCCCAGACTGTGACAGACTCATGGTTTTCAGTTCTATTTTCACCTTACTCAAATCCTGGAGGAATTAAACTATTATTTATTTGAAATGTTACAAATTAGCTTGCAGCTGATCCAAACAACATGTAGTCACTCAGACATAGCCAATAAAAATGTTTTGGTAGTATGAACTTGGATTCTAATCTTGCTGTCTCTCCCACTCTCATTCCAAAGTCTAAATGTTAGGTCTCTTGCTTGAGAAGAATTTAAGAGATGCTCTTAAATTCAAACAAACGAGACTGGAGGAAGGAATATAATCCATTCACTGGGAAAGTACACAACCAACAAAACTGAGATTTCCCAACTATGCACTATGATAATGCAGAAGCACATTTTAGAGATAGCTTTCCTGGGTATACACATTACTCTTGGTAAACCGATCTATGATTCTGCCACCTGGAAAGATTCTTACCTTTCTACTTCCTTCCAAATATTCATTTAAAGGTGATAGGGACAGGGAGAGAGAAGGAAAAAACAAGCAGCACTATCCAAAACTGTTTTATGTAGCATTTACAATTCATAAACCGGTCAGAGTCCTAGGCACAAAGAATGGACCTCCCCTTCCTTGTCCACCAAATGCCTGTATAGCTTCAAAATCACCTCTTGAAAACATTGCCTTATTCCTCCCCTTCCCAGCAGAGGTTAAGAGCCACACTCACCTCTTTTAGATTACTTAAGTGGCTATACTGCAATCATTCACTTGTGTCTGCTCTATTCGACGATAAGCAAATTGAAGGCAGGGTGTGTGACTTCATAATCTCTGAATGATCTGAACGTGGAAATAACTACTTTGTGATTTCAGGGAGCTTATATACCTGCAAAGAGAAAAGAGACATCAAATTATCTTCCAAATCAACAGAAAAGTCTCTTTATTAGAAGGCAAAGCAGCTTTCAAATTTGTGTGTGCTTGGGGAGTAGAAGGAAACATTAAAAATATAAACCTGCTGGGCACGGTGGCTCACGCCTGTAACCCCAACACTTTCGGAGGCCAAGATGGGCAGATCACCTGAGGTCAGGAGTTCGAGACCAGCCTAGCCAACATGGTGAAACACTGTTTCTACTAAAAATACAGAAATTAACCGGGCATGGTGGCAGGTGCCTGTAATCCCAGCTACTTGGGAAGTTGAGGAGAATCGCTTGAAACAGGGAGGCAGAGATTGCAGTGAGCTGAAATTGTGCCATTGTACTCCAGCCCAGGTGACAAAAATGAAACTCCACCTCAAAAAAAAAAAAAAAAAAAAAAAAGAACCTGAAATATCAACCTTTCTTCTGTCCCAATACACCCGAAAGATCTGATACACAGTTCTATCACTAACAGTGCTCCATGGTGATTTCTAATCTGGGAAGAGTGGGAGAGGGCACAGAAGAATCTGGGAGTAGGAAAGATGTATGTGGTTTAAAATGCTCTTCCCATCACTGCAAGAGACCTTTGATACATTTAATATGTATCATAACCAGACAATACTTAAGAAAGCCCAAAGATCTTCAACACATATGTTTTAAATGTTCTAAATCATAAATTTGGTTCATATGCCCTGGAGGCTGCTGAGTGACAGCTACCACCTTGACTACTGAGCAAGCTTAACTGTCAATCCTATATTTACAGCACAACATGAGTATTTGGCTTTCTGCTAGTTTCAGGATCTAAAACTTTATGGAATAAATTATATGCTATAAAGGTAATGTCAAATTAGGGACTTAAAAGGTGATTCCTTTTCAAATGTCAAGTATCTTTAAAAGTCATTTTCTGAAGTGACACAAAGCAACACAGTATTATAGCTCAGTACCTAACAACAGCCCATCTCCCCCAAACAACACTTTGGCCAAATGTATATATTATCTGTAGGGTGGAAATCAGATAAACAAACCCCTTGTTACTGAAATCTCATCCTTTTCTTATAAAGTGATGGATGGCTAAAATTTTCAAACAGTGGGATCCTATGCTCCATTATTTTAAATTGGAAATAAAGGAATCATTCTACAGTTCATTACTGGACATGTTTCTCTGAACATGTAGAGTACACATGCAGGCATGCACACACTCAACATGCAAAAGAAAGAAATACATGTTCCCAGCCCTTCAAAGGACCTCAAGCCAACTTCCCAAAAATAACCACATACAACTAGCTACCAAAGATTTCTACGTAAGGCATTTTAAACACCATTTACCTATTAATTATGAATTCAGTAGTGGGTATGTTTCTGTACAGTTAACCACTGAAAAATCGTCTTAGTTCTGGAAGAGAGAGAAAAGGGAATGGAATATAGAGGCTGTAACATGCTGCTAGCTACTAGCAGGGGAAGTAAGCAAGAGATAACTGGCCAAGAGAGTGAGAAGAGAAACGGCCTGTGGCTTGTCCATGACCAAATCTATTAAATTGTAGTCTTCTCTTCCTAGTCCTTGATTCTCTAGCAGCTGGTCTGAACCACTGCCTGAAACTATTTAAAAAAAAAAAGCAATGGAATAAAAAGAATACAAAATGGCTGGGTGCGGTGTTGTACAAACGGGGTTGCCCTGTTGCCCAGGCTGGTCTCAAACCCCTAACCGCAAGCAATCCACCCACCTCATCCTCCCAAAGTGCTGAGATTACAGATGCGAACCACCACATTTGGCTGAGAAAATTTTAAATCTCAAGTTAAATATGTTTATTTTTGCAGAGAAGTATCCTAGCTGATTAATAAAAAACTTTCCAAGCATAGAAAAATATTACGGGCCAGGCGCAGTGGCTGACGCCTGTAATTCCAACACTTCAGCAGGCCAAGGTGGGAGAATTGCTTAAGCTCAGCAGTTTGAAACCAGTCTGGGCAACACAAAAAGACCCCATCTCTACAAAACCTTTTTTGTTATTGTTTCTTTAGCCAGGGTGGTAGCACACACCTGTGGCCCCAGCTACTCAGGAGGCTGACATACAGGAGATCTTGAGCTCAGGAGGTAGAGGCCGCCAGTGAGCTATGATTGCGCCAATGCACTCCACCCTGGGTGACAGTGAGGTTGTCTCAAAAAAAACAAGAAAATAATTAAAAATAGATATCTGTTTGTGTTCTCTGTGCCTGGAAATATACAGCTACTGAAAATACAAGCTACTGTGCTTGTTGTTGCATTTTTAAGGTGATACTTCTTCTCATGTCACAATCACTTGTGACAGCAATCATTCATCTACATAATGTAAAATTTCTTTGAAACATTTGCATAAAGCAGTTCTTAAAAGTGTGGTCTTGCCGGGCGCGGTGGCTCACGCCTGTAATCCCAGCACTTTGGGAGGCCGAGGCGGGTGGATCACAAGGTCAAGAGATCGAGACCACCCTGGTCAACATGGTGAAACCCCGTCTCTACTAAAAATACAAAAAATTAGCTGGGCATGGTGGCACGTGCCTGTAATCCCAGCGACTTAGGAGGCTGAGGCAGGAGAATTGCCTGAACCCAGGAGGCGGAGGTTGCGGTGAGCCGAGATCGCGCCATTGCACTCCAGCCTGGGTAACATGAGGAAACCTCCGTCTCCAAAAAAAAAAAAAAAAAAAGTGTGGTCTCTGTGGGGGGCTTCTGAGAGCCCTTCTGGGGGTTAGTGAAGTCAAAACTATTTTCATATAAACCACATAAACAAAAGCTCTTTGGAGTCCTAAATAACTTGAGTCTTGCGACGAACAAGTTTGAAAATTGTTTATATAGGGGCTGGATGCAGTGGCTCATGCCTGTAATCCCAGCACTGTGGGAGGCTGAGGCTGGAGGATCACCTGAGGTCAGGAGTTCAAGACCATCCTGGCCAACATGCTGAGACCCTGTCTCTACTAAAAATATAAAAACTAGGCCAATGTGGTGACACACCCCTGTAATCCCAGCTACTCAGAAGGCTGAGGTAGGAGAATCACTTGAACCCAAGAGGCAGAGGTCGCAGTGAGCCGAGATTGCACCACTGCACTCCAGCCTGGGTGACAGAGCGAGACTCCATCTCAAAAAAAAAAAAAAAAAAATTAGCCGGGTATGGTGGCACACACCTCTAATCCCAGCTACTCAGGAGGCCAAGGCAGAGAATCGCTTGAACCCAGGAGAGGGAGGCTATTTATGGGTTCCCCAAAATAAATATCTGGTTGAATGAGTTCCTCAGTACTTAAGACACCCACTATGTGATGTGAACAGTTTTTCAATATTTGCTAATGTACAGATTGTTTTCTGGGCCTCAGGCTCACTTACTTTCTATTTTATTTTATTTTTTTTTTGAGACGGAGTTTCACTCATGTTACCCAGGCTGGAGTGCGATGGCGCGATCTCGGCTCACCGCAACCTCCGTCTCCTGGGTTCAGGCAATTCTCCTGCCTCAGCCTCCTGAGTAGCTGGGATTACAGGCACGCACCACCATGCCCAGCTAATTTTTTGTATTTTTAGTAGAGACGGGGTTTCACCATGTTGACCAGGATGGTCTCGATCTCTTGACCTCGTGATCCACCCGCCTCAGCCTCCCAAAGTGCTGGGATTACAGTCTTGAGCCACCGCGCCCGGCCTCACTTACTTTCTTCACAGGCTTGCCACTGTCCTGCAACACATTTCCATTTCGTAACATGAGAAAGATGATTGCAATAATGCACAAGAAACTTAAGCCAGACCAGCACCAAGTGTAAGATTACTTGACAAGACAACTGGGGTTTGACTGCAGTGTACTTTACAGAATCCGTTTTCTAGGGCGAGCACATAGCTTGTTCAATGAACCCCAGGCCGCTCTGGGTAAATACATGTAACAAGCAATGAAAGTTCCTTCGTCACATATTGTTACTACACATCTGTTGCTAAAAGGTAAATGACAGAAACGACATGGGCTGGGCGCAGTGGCTCACACCTATAATCCCAGCACTTTGGGTGGATCACGAGGTCAGGAGTTCAAGACCAGCCTGGCCAAGATGGTGAAACCCCCATCTCTACTAAAAATACAAAAATTAGCCGGGTGTGGTGGCACACACCTGTAATCGCAGCTGCTTGGGAAGCTGAGACAGAGAACTGCTTAAACCCGCGCGACATGGGTTGCAGCGAGCCGAGATCACGCCACTGCACTCCAGCCTAGACGACAGAGCAAGACAATGTCTCAAAAAAAAAAAGCAACATGACAGACTCATCTCCGTCTATAAAATATGAAAGATGTAGATGATTGGCACAATTCTAAATCCTCACACACACTGACTTTGCCTTTCATGGATTTATACTCTATATAGACATACATTACTACTCTCTTCACTCCTCCTTTCAACTCCTTATCCACCTCGTAAAAAAAGACGAATTGTCTAGCAATGCAAAGAAACAGTATGGCAAAGAAACAGTATGGTGTAGAACAAAGAATTCCGGGCTGAAAATGAAGAAATCGCGCTTTCACTCCCGACGCTGCTATTAACAAGCTGTATAACTTACGGCCTGTCTCCCCTCACCACGCTTCAGTTTAAGCTGAAAGGAGGGAGATGACCAAGATGGCTTTGCTCTGCTTCGGATACCAAATGACTGCCAGCAGATTCAGGAAGCTTAAGAATTACCAACTCCGTGTGTGTGTTCTCAAATTTATGCAACAGGTGCTGTTGCCTCCAGGAAGCGTCACCGATTCAGAACGTCTGGGTTTGCGCAGGCCCTTTAGGGACACAAGATAGCACCGCCTATATGAAAACTGAAGTTTCCTTAAACTTTAGTCTGGTGAGTGGATATTTCTCCTTTCCGCATTTACACTTACCTCAGCTCCGTTGGCTACCAAGCTCGTTCTTCAAACGAGGTGGAGAAATGCAAGCGCAATGAACTAGGAATGGGGCCCACGTCGCTGGTGGCGCCGACCCCCCCAAAAGATACACGCCGCTACAGATACAACCCCTCACCTCTACTCCCGTTCTCTGCCGCATCCTCTGAAACCTGATACGGCTGCCTGCCTTCCAGGGCGCTGCTGTCACCGGCTCCGCCGGGTGGCCAAGGACCGGCCTTACTGCAGGCGACGGGCCCTCCAATGTGCCATCTTCGTAGTAAATCCACTCTTTTTCCGGCGGAAGAGCCCTTCCCGTTTCCTGGGCGGGAGAGGAAGTCCCGCCCTACGCACCAGCGGGATGTAACCGGATGCGCCCGGGCGCTGCGCGCAGGCTCAGAACCTGGTTGATGTTACTTGGGAGGAGGGTTGGCTTCGACTCAGGGAAGCCCAGCGCGGGAACCTTGTTGCTGGGTCCGAGGGTGGTAGGGAGTGGAGAGAGGGCAGGGGTTCGCTCAGAGGGGTCTGGGAGAACGGCTTGCAGACTCACATCTCCTCTGCCCTCGGATGTCCTCCGGGAAATTGAGGCTTCCTTCCTCAGCTGCCCTTGTTTCTCTTTGCTCCTGCTGCCCCTTGCATTTGGTTTCTTACTGTTTATCTGTGTAGCCCCGTAGCTTACGGTTATAGTGGTCACCACTTTATTGAGCATTCACTGTACAAGCATCTCGCAGGAGACGCTCATAAGCGTCTGGCAGTTCTTGGCCACTGCTGGAAGCCCAGCCATTCTTTTACCATGAAAGAGATTGAGAGCCTACCTAATCCTGTACTCTAATATCCACATGGTACTCTTGGGGCTAGGAATATAAAGTAGAAATTGAAATTGCCATTATGTTAGTTTTCGGAAGCTGCCATAACCAAGTACCACACGCTGAATAGTTTAAATCAACAGATATATTTTCTCACTTTCTGGAGTCGGGGAGTCAGAAATTAAGATGTCAGTGGGGCCTTGCTTCTTCTGAGACTCTGGTTAGAATCCTTCCTGCCTCTTCCTAGCTTGTGGTGGAAGCCAGCAATCGTTGATGTTCTTTGGCTTTAGCTGTATTACTCCATTCTCTTTCCCCTATTATCAAATGGTATACTCCCTGTGTGTCTCTGTCTCTGTGTCTTTTATAAGGACACCAGTCTTGTTAAGTAAAAGGCTTACCTTACTCCAGTATGACCTGATCATGACTAATTACATCTGCAATGACCCTCTTTCCAAATAAGGTCACATTTTGAGGTTCCAAGAAGGACTTGAATTTCGGGGGCAACACTGCACTGACCAACCCAGTACAGTTGTCAAAGTTCTTAAGAAACAGACAAAGAGTTGACAAAAAAACTGTAGTACAAGTGGATTCAAACTTAGTTCAGTTGTATCTGAGTTTTCATAGACATTCGGGGTATCCCTTTAAAAGATGGGTAGGGGCGGGGCACAGTGGCTCACGCCTGTAATCCCAGCACTTTGGAAGGCAGAGGTGGAGCAGATTGCCTGATCTCAGGAATTCAAGACCTGCCTAGCCCACATGGTGAAACCCTGTCTCTACTAAAAATACAAAAATTAGCCAGATATGGTGGCGAGCACCTGTAATCTCAGTATTTTGGGAGGCCGAGGTAGGTGGATCTGGTCAGGAGTTCGAGACCAGACTGGCCAACATGGTGAAACCTCACCTCTATTAAAAATACAAAAATTGCCGGGCGCGGTGGCTCAAACCTGTAATCCCAGCACTTTGGGAGGCTTAGGCGGGTGGATCACGAGGTCAAGAGATCGAGACCATCCTGGTCAACATGGTGAAACCCCGTCTCTACTAAAAATACAAAAAATTAGCTGGGCATGGTGGTGCGTGCCTGTAATCCCAGCTACTCAGGAGGCTGAGGCAGGAGAATTGCCTGAACCCAGGAGGTGGAGGTTGCGGTGAGCCGAGATCGCGCCATTGCACTCCAGCCTGGGTAACAAGAGTGAAACTCCGTCTCAAAAAAAAAAAAAAAAAATACAAAAATTAGTTGGGTGTGGTGGTGGGTGCCTGTAATTCCAGCTACTTGGGAGTCTGAGGCAGGAGAATTGCTTGAACCCGGGAGGCAGAGGTTACACTGAGCCAAGATCACATCACTGCACTCCAGTCTGGGCATCAGATTGAGACTCTGTCTAAAAAAAAAAAAAAAGAGTTCACTGGTTAAATTATGGTCTATTCATACAGTAGTATACTAGGCATTCACTTAAAATGATGCAAGCATGTATTTTGAGCATCAGCAACTAGGTAAGAGAAGTGTATTTTTAAAAGCAATGAGTTATACGAATACAAATTAGATATATACACGTGACTAAGGGGTAGGGGTATCCAGTTGTAACAATGGCAAGTTGTAAGAGATAAAATCCTAAATTCTAGCCAGGCTCGGTGGCTCAAGCCTGTAATCCCAGCACTTTGGGAGGCTGAGGCGGGTGAATCACGAGGTCAAGAGATCGAGACCATCCTGGTCAACATGGTGAAACCCCGTCTCTACTAAAAATACAAAACATTAGCTGGGCATGGTGGCGCGTGCCTGTATTCCCAGCTACTCAGGAGGCTGAGGCAGGAGAATTGCTGGAACCCAGGAGGCAGAGGTTGCGGTGAGCCGAGATCGCACCATTGCACTCCAGCCTGGGTAACAAGAGTGAAACTCCGTCTCAAAAAAAAAAAAAAAAAAAAATCCTAAGTTCTTTGTTTTTATTTCTATAGGCATCTTTGTGTCTTCTCGATTCTTTCATAATTAGCATGTTTTTAATAATTAGAATATATGTAAACCTATTTTTGAAGTAATATAATGACTAGCGTTGTACATAAAATTTTGCATACATCTTGACTTCCTTAGAATTAGTACCCAGGTTTAACTTATTTATTCAAGAGAATAAATTTTTTGAAGCTTTACATGCATATTTTCAAATTTCCTCTTTAGAAGAAATGCAAATATATATTCACCAGCAGCATTTGACAGTGTCACTTCCCTAGGCCCATACTGGAACTTTTTAAATCCATAGCCAGTGTGATCAGTTATCATTTGTGGTTGCTTCTGACAAGGCATGTCTCATGTGATCAGCACTCAAGAAATTACTCCTTTCAAACTGGCTGTCTGTAGTCCTCAAAGTTCTGTTTTTAGCCCTTTCTATTATAAACATTTATTGTCTGTCTGGTTTATCTTCTTATAAGCAGTTATCAAAAGAATCCGTTTAATTAATATTTGGAGCACTTCTATACCCAGTCCATAAAAGTGTGACAATTCCTGAACTCAGTTAATCAGGTTTCAAAATGACTATTCCTCTGGTTGAGGCAATATAGGGAGGGAATTAGGATTTTTGGGATTTACAGTCAGACTGCCTGGGCTCAAATCCTAGCTCTGTGACAACTTACTGATTTGCCATCAGGAAACCAGGAAGAGAACCCTCACCAGGAACCACGTCTGCTGGCACCTTGATCTTGAACTTCTCAGTGTCCAGAACTGTGAGAAATAAATGTCT